TCTGCACCCGGGATCCGAATCAGTGAACCCAGGGCCACTGAAGCGGAACCTGCTCACTTAACCATTGCACCACTAGGCACTCCGGAATTTGGATGATTTTAAGCCACCAAGTTTGTATTAATTTGTTATAGCAGCAATAGAAAACTAACACACCAGTATATTCTAATTTCTGAATTGAAATTATGTTTGTGACTTAAAGTGAGTATAGGACTGTTCCATCCAATAGGAGTGAAAACAAAAGTCATGATAGCTGCCGGGGTTTTCATCCAGGAGAGGAGAAGGATGAATCCACAAACTTTAAAGGGGCAATGGAAAACAGCAATAAATTTAGGTTGTGAACATATCATGAATGATTCTTGTTCAACCTGCCAGTTATAATAAATGTGCTTTCATTAATTTCTTCATTCATTTAGGCTAAAATTAGCTTGAATTGGTTTTGCTATTTATAACCAAATAGTTTTAATGACTAAAACTGTAAGGATAATTATCCCAACAACGGGTACAAATGGCTTCAAGCAGGGTTGTTAAACACCATAGTGCTAGAGTGGGAACAATATCTGGGGCTTCTAATTTTTTTTAAGGTTTTTTTTTTTTTTTAAAAGATTGGCACCTAAGCTAACAACTGTTGCCAATCTTCTTTTATTTTTTTGATTTTTCTCCCCAAATCCCCCCTGTACGTAGTCGTATAATTTTTTTAGTTGTGGGTTCTTGTAGTTGTGGCATGTGGGACGCTGCCTCAACATGGCCTGATGAGCGGCGCCATGTCCTCGCCCAGGACCCCAACCAGCGAAACCCTGGGCTGCCAAAGTGGAGCATGCAAACTTAACCACTCGGCCACAGGGCTGGTCCCTAACTTTTTTTTTTTAACAAAAATAAATCATAAAAACGCTATAAAGAACACCTCATTTCATCCTTACAAAAACCTCAAGAAAGTCCACACTATTTTATACACTGAGAAACTAAGTTTCAGAAAAGTTAAATAACTTTGCCAAGGTCACAAGTGATGGAATTGGCATTCAATTCCAGTATTTCTGACACCAAAGCTCTACTGTATCATTCATTCATTCAGCAAACATTCATTGACTACTTACTATGTCCCAGACACTGCGATATCTAGCTTGCTGACATTTAATAAGGCCTCATTATATGCCAAGTACTTTCCATATCTTAATTCACGTAATCCTTGTTCTATTATGATGTCCATTTTAGAGATGACACCCCAAAATAATAAGAAACTTGCCTGAGGTCTTGCAAATGACAGAGCCAGGATTCAAATCAGGCAGTGTGATCCGTAGTGATTCTTAACCACTGATCTCTGCAGCAGTCTGTCCTAGGTGCAGAATATACAGATACCATCTCTCTTCTCATGGAGGTTAGCTTCTAGTTGGAGAGACAGAGAGAACAAAGCAAAGAAACAAAGTTCTAATTGCAATAGGATTATGTAAGAAAAGGGCAGGAAGTGCTATGAAAGAATAACAAGATGTCAAAAGATGTTTAAGGAAGTAACATTTAAACAGAGATAGAAATTTGAAGGGCCAGCCACAGGAATGTTTGAGGGATAGGGAGGGAAGCACACTGGCAGCATGAGAGAAAGCCTAGCGGTAGAAAAGAACTTGGCCCTTTCTTGCAGTTGAAGGAAGGCCAACGTGCCAGAAGCAAAGATTTAGTTTGATAGAATTAAACAGTGAGAGTTGCAGCAATAAATGGAGAGATTTAATATTGGTTTTATACTTCTTTATTACTTGAAATGAAATTTCCCTACGAAATTAATAATAAGAATTATTAATCAAAAAAATCTTATTTTCAAAATGAATTATATACATCTAATAAAAGAAATCATTTTGACTGTCTTCCATCTATCTCTATCGGAGGAACAGCATTGCCTTTTGGTCCCATAATAGACTAAAGCACAGGCATTACTGAATGGTAGCTATTTCACTTGCAGAACCAAAGGCCTCTAGAACATAAATAATAACGAGGCTGTCCATTCAGTCAATTCATTCCTAATTTACTGACTATCTGGTCAGTTTTAGCTCATGGTAAATAAACAAAATTAACTATATCATTTTCATTGTTGGTTATAATAAAATCAATTATATTGATGCATGATGTATAAACTACGATAAATATCTACAAGTGCATATGTATAACTCTGAAAAATAAAATTCACAAAGTAACCAGTCATATCCACTAATACATTTGGAATATGATATTTATTGCATATTTCAGAAAGCTTGCTATCTTTAAGCACAGTGCTTAAATTCACAGTCAAAATCAGAATGTTTCTCAGAAATTTTGTGATAGAGAATGAATTATCAGTAATATTCTTTTGTTAACAAGGAGATACTCTTAGAATGTCTTCTTGTTATAAATTCACTCTAAATAAAATAATTCCTTATAATTACTAATATTTAATAAATTAAAATACTGAATTCTATATATACAAATTAACTTTTCCAGTTATGATTTTTTTTTTTTTGAGGAAGATTAGCCCTGAGCTATGATCTGCTGCCAATCCTCCTCCTTTTGCTAGGGAAGACTGGCCCTGAGCTAACATCCGTGCCTATCTTCCTCTACTTTACATGTGGGATGCCTACCACAGCATGGCGTGCCAAGTGGTGCCATGTCCGCACCCGGGATCTGAACTGGCGAACCCCAGGCCGCCGAAGTGGAACGTGCGAACTTAACAGCTCTGCCACCGGGCCACCCCTCCAGTTATAATTTTGATGTAATAGATATTACAATAAATAACATATCACTAAACAAAATTATATGCAATTACAGTCAAAAAAAGAGTAAGAAATAATTTATGAAATTCAATATAACTGATAATCCATTTAAATTAGTATGATGATGATTCCCCTCTAACTCTGATCCCTAAAAATAATAGGGGTGTTAAACATGGAAGTATTAATCCACTTGGTTTATAGAAGATGTTGAGAATTGATACTTTTTAAAAATCAAACAACTAGGCTTTAAGTTCATTTTACAGAAATCGCTTAAATTTGTACTGCCTTCCTCAGAGATTAAAAAAATAAAGAAGACCAAAAAGGTGCATTCTAAAATGATATTGCAAAAAGAATAATTTGTGTTACAGAGAAAATATTTTAAATTTTCTTTCCTTATAATAAAGAGAAATAGAGGCATGTGAGGATGGGATTGTTATATTTACCAAATGGGCATATACTTGGTTAAAGATAATGTTAAAGTGTCATTTCATTTTTCCAAAGTGATACACATAAAATATGTCAACCAATACCTTTCTAGTTATTAAAAATTTCTGGAACAATCTATGTCTTAAGATACTGGAATAATGCACGTTGCTGTATATTTGGGCGCAACGGTCTTTTGCAAATTTGCCCACTAGGAATACTGCAGCCTTATACTCCAGCAAAAGATACAAAGCATTTGCTTAACAAGATTTTGGGTTGGCAAAAAATCCTTCAAATGGAACATTTTAATTAGGGTCTCTCAATAAGAAAAACTACAAAGACTTTTTTTTAAAGAAAAGAAGGAGTTGTGTTTTGTTTGTCTTCATAAAGAAAACAATAAAGAGAAAACCCAGACACTCGGGAGGAAGAGCAAACCTGGTTTTAAATTATATCCACTTTGATGGCAGTAAATTCTTCCAAAAGCATGCATTTATAAAGATATAAACTACTTTAATCTTTTGCATCCTCTTAACAGCTTTAGCAGAAATTACTTTCATAAAGTATTAGCTATAGTCAAGCAGAAATAAATGTTACAGTCAAGTAGAAGTACAAGCACACAGGAATTCTGTGTGAGTGTTCTTCTCTTTCTTTTTTGTCCTATTTATTTATTTGAGGAACATTCTTTCCACTGTAAATAGATCAAGAAAAAAATATTCAGTGCTTTTTTTGATAGGGAGACAGGGCCTAAAATTGAATTGCCTGTGGAAGACCGAACAAAATAAAACAGTCCACACTGCACATTCTCCAACCATGCAGCCATCATTTCTCTCCCCACACCCTCAATGCTCCCTCAGTGACGCTCTTGGTTGAGCATGTGAGAACAAGACACACCACCCACATCTCCCAGCCTTTGCACATACATTTCCCTGTACCAGACATGCACCCACATATACCACAGTAAATATATCCACAGATACACGATATGCCAGATATCATTCAAGACCCAGCTCAGCCCATAGGTCACTGCTCTGAGCCCACCTTCTCTCACCTTCTCCTTCATCCCTGACCCCAGCACCTGTCTGGGGCCACGTGTTCTACAGTTATGCAGCTCATTTGTGGGCAGAGGTTACAGATGTCTATGCGGAAGCCAGATCAGCCCTGGCAAACTTTATATTTGGCCCAGAAAGTGTTGTTTTCATTTTAAACTGGTCCAATATTTTTATATTATACGATTTACTATAAAATTCCAGATTTCCAGCTTTGCTGGAGAAGAAAGAAAGATCTCCCACATTTTCACATGGCAAAAATCCTTTGGAGCCAAGCAGCTCCAATGCAATAGGCAGGAGCTGTCAATTTCACCATGCCCCCTGTGGTCTCCCCATTCTGGGTCTGCCAGCTCTCCTATAGTGTTATAGTTGCAGTGTGTGTATGTGTGTGTGTGTGTGTGTGCATTTTATCACAAAGAACTATTTCTCTGTACCTAGCCCACTCATCTCATTTATTTTTGTCATCCTAACCTATACATTACTTGACTTTGATAGCCCTAGGCTATGGGAACATGAACATCACAGAAAACTTAAATATATACATCACTTATTATTACCATTACCTTTATTATGGCGTCCAATTTCAACCATGAGTCTTTATTCCCTCACTCCAAACTCATTTTCAATGCAACTAAAAATACCTATTTATCCCCTCCCCGGCTATTCTTCTGTTTAATGTGTTTAATGACCAGAAGAAAGACTGTCAGAAGGTAAAGCTATCGATAATTTTCAATTTGGATAATTAATCCATATATAAAGAAATTAGTTTAAAGAATGTTCCATGTTCTTACCTCCCTTCCAGATAATTGGCTTCCTGCCCAGGATTAAACACAGAAGGCCCAGAGAAGCACCAGAAGTTCCACCATAAGCTTCCGGGATCAGCTGACAACCACAGGGTCCTCTGGGAAGTCAGAACTCTGTATAATTGCCTGAAACTCCTCCAGGCCCAGCCAGGCTTGATTTCAGTGACTAAGTGGTTCATTTGCTCAATCTGTCTGAGAGCTTACCAGGGGAAAACAGGTTTTTCATCACTTGTAAAGTGAGAAATGTTACATTTTTTCAAAAATGTAATCAGACTTTATTCAGTCTCCGTGAAAAGTATAGAAGACAGCACATGTTTTCTGTTTAAACATTAATAAAAAGAATAGCAAACATTACCTCATCATCTACTATACACCAAGTACTGAGCTAAGTGACATGCACATAGCCTTTCTTTACACTGCTCAACCTCGAGCTAGGTATTGTCATTTATATTTTATAGATGAGGGAGCTGAATCATAAGGAAAGGTGAACTATACTGACTAATATAATAGGATTAATAACCTGAAATTCTGGGATGCAAACCTACATAGGTTTGATGCCAAGCATCTACTGATTCTCTAAGCTATGCTCTGCCTTCTCCCAAGCATTCAATTCTACTCATTCCCAGTCTTCTCTGGGGACTAAGGCCTTAGTTAATGAGCAAATGGGCCATGAATCAGTGGTTGATGTGAAATCTGAAAAGCATAACCTTACTGGAAAGCAGCTGAGGATGTTTACCTGGGGAAGAGAAGGAAAAAGATGTAATTGCTGCTTCTGAATATTTGGGGGATGAATCAGTTGTTTGGGGATCTAAACTTCATGCAAGTTGTTAAAAAAAAGAGATTTCTATGAAAATTAATGCGAAATTACAAATGCAAAATTAGCTATTAAAGTTAATATTTAGAATGACAGAAAATAAATGCCAAAATTTAAAAATGTCAACATATACCATATTCATAAAATATCCAGAAAAATAATATAGTATTTTTTATTAAATAATTACCTGGCATACCTTTATAGCACTCTTTTCTCAATGTTTTTGCCTGTATATTCTCGATTGCCTCCTTAAGTATTTTATGGCAATGATTTTTTTTTTTTTTGAGGAAGATTAGCCCTGAGCTAACTGCTGCCAATCCTCCCCTTTTTGCTGAGGAAGACTGGCGGTGAGCTAACATCCATGCCCATCTTCCTCTGCTTTATACATGGGATGCCTACCACAGCATGGCTTTTGCCAAGCGGTGCCACGTCCGCACCCGGGATCCAAACCGGCGAATCCCAGGCCACAGAGAAGCAGAACGTGTGAACTTAACCGCTGCGCCAGCGGGCCGGCCCCCAAATGGCAATGATTTTATAATATTTTCTACAGAGACAATAGAGAGATAATTAGGCTTTTTAATTGCATGGTTGATTGAAATTTGTTTTTATTAATGATATTTTAGAAAAGTTTCTGTCAGCTTCACAAATCATCATTGAAAGTACCATATAAATTTTTAGGTTTGTTAGCAAATTAGGAAAAATTTCTGTCAAGTTTCTTTCATTTAAGAGCTGTCACAGATGTACTCAGTGTTTACAGGACTATTACAATTTTATACACTACAAACAAAGGAATTTTGAAGAATATTTTGTGCAATTCCCATAGAAAATGAAAGAATATATATGGTGCTTATAATGGTATATACTCCACTACAGAGTGTAGTCCTGAGAACAGAAAATGTTGGCTAGAGAAGCTTCAACCTAACAATTTTACACATCCGACGATTAGACAAATTTCGACCAACTAGCTTCTGACTCTACACATTCAAAGATCCACTACTCAACATACTTCTGGTGTGAGCTATCTCAGGATGTGTATGACTTCTGGCCACACATCTTTGTGTTCTAGCAGAGTGAGGAGTGGAAACTGTCTGGAAGCCATTCTTATGTTTTGGAATGGATAGCAATAACTTAAACATACATGAAAATTACTGTGAGCCACATAAACCGACCCCACTAAACCCAAACTAAGTGCATTTCCAACTGAAGCTCCCCAAAACCAGATCCCCAAACTGCCCCCAGCCCCTCCAACACCTCCTAAAATAAGCGGAAATGTAGCGGAGGAGAAGTTGGATTGCGAAGAGAGAGCTGTCCTAATTAATTGTGGTCGAAATAACTTATTTTTGCTAATCTAAAAACATGACCTTTAGCACTATTGCTGGGGCCCCTCCCAGGGCTTTGGAAGTGGTTCACGCACACAAGGAGCTTGAAGCTTAAGTTTTATTAATTTCACAGTAAAGCTGCCTCTGTTGTAGGGTTACTTTATAGATAAGGGATACTGTGGTCTGTGCTTATCTGTAGAGCATGGTACTATATAGCTTGGGGCAAAAATTATAGGGAAAAGGTTTCTGGTTCAGTTTTAGAAAAAACTTACTAACAAGCAGAGGTGTCTGACAATATCATGGGCTGCATCTGAAAGTTGTGAATTCCCATAACTGAAAGCAGTTGAACAGAAAATCTCCATGACATCTGGAGAGGATGATTGTGAATGGGAGTCAGGCCTAGGATACACGTGTGACTCTCTTATGGCTCTAAGTCACTGTGACATGTGGTTTTGACACATGAGCTCCGTTGTTGCTTGTTGTTTTATAAAAATTTGGGTTGAAAAAAAGAAAGCTAGTACCAAAAATAAATGTTTAATACAATAAAGAAATTCAGTTATTCAAAGGAATTCAAAATCTCATGTTGAACTATTTTTTCTCTTTAATTTAGTGGCTCTTTTTATTTTTTTAAAGAAATAAAAATAGGAAAACAAAACTTTTTACAAAATAAAATGTTAAAAGAAAAGCAGATGGGAATGGAGCTGCTCAGTTTGGAGCAAGGGGTAGAAGACCGAGAGCTGCCTTTGCCCTCTCCTCTTCCTCTTCACCAAGTGACCTGCATGGACTCCAACAGAATTTAGAATTTAGGGTTCCGTGAAAGTCAATGTTCTATCCCCTAACCCAACGGCCTCCTCTGAATTTGCACTATCCGTGTGAATTTCTGTATCTGAAGCATTTTTATAGCCAATCTTGAAGCAAAGAGACTTTTGTGGAAGATCTCACCAGGGCTTCTTAACTGGGGCATGCATATTCCAAGTGTGACAGGTAAGGAAAGAGATAACAGGACCTGCAAGATAAAGGTGGGACAGCTTCCTGTACATCTGTTTTACTTGCTGTTAAGTACACGCAATGTTATTTTTATATTCAAATAAATACAACAACAAATACAATGGAATATTCTCAGAATTTTTAAGGACAAAATACACAGTTTCAAAGAACATTCCATCTGGCCACAGACAGTTGCCATTAGGACCTCAGGCCCTGCACAGAGGTATGTGTTTCATTCACGTCTACTGGGAGGAGGGTTTCAGGGAGAAGCCCTGCATTAAGCTAATACGTTCAGAATCGGGCTTGGAAGCTGGAGATATGGTTCTTAATCTCTGAAGGGTTGGACCATCTTAAAGTCAGAGGAAATGGCACCTGTCTCCCTTACTTGGCTGCAAAGATAAAAATCAATCCAAGTGATTTTTATTAAAAAGCTTCAGAGTTCTTGGCATTTCAAAGGACACTATGGGGTAAAGACGCACAGTCTGTGTCCTTTAAGAGCTTGCAGCCTGGTACTGACAACGGAGACAAATCAATGACTAATCCGAAACAGTTATCAGATGAAGGAAGCCCAGGGAGTTGCATTTTGAAGAGCAAAATGCAATCACGAGTTTTCTGTGGAATAAAGTTACTACAGAGCTATATGGAACTGTTTTTATTATTGACAGTGAGCATGTTGCTATCCACAATCTGAGGAAAACAAGTTTCCTGATAAGACTATTCTAAAAAGATAAACACGCATGAGAGCTAGAAAATAATTCTAAAATGCTGATTGACAACGATGGTAAACTGAGGGTTTATAAGAAGCTACAAGCTATGCTTGTAAAATGAAAATCCTAAATAGATTACTCTAAGGAAGATGATAAAATATTTCTAATCCTCTCTTGGAAAATATTTGTTCTTAATTTTATTACCATGCACTTATATAAATGTTTACTTTAAAGAGCTTTTGATAAGAATCCCATTATCATACTCTCATGTAAGGCATTTACAGGGATATTTTGCCTAGTACCCTATAACAAAATAACCAACTCAGTAATTCTAAGACTTAGTATTAAGATGGTAGGTGATTTTGTCATTTTATTTGATTCCTGTGGATTATCTAGTCATTCAGTTTGTTTCTTTTTCTTTTGGATATCTGTTTGCTTCCCTAACACTTCCACCAAAAGAACCAAGAAGAGCTAAAGTCAAATATATCAGCTTTAAGTTTGTGCCTCTTGTAAAATGCCCAGTGACAAAGGCATCAACTAAAATAATATCACCACATTTTGCGTTATTCACGACGGTTTTCTCCTCAAGTATATGAAGAGTGCTGGGATATTCCAATGCACGGTTTGCCACAAGGTCAGGTAATACCACAAGGCCTGCGGCTTAGGCACACCAAAGCACTCCTATCATGGAGCTGGTCTCAGGAATTCCAGTGCTGGCTTGCGAGAACAAATACTATAAAGTGTAAGCAAGGAACTGTCAGAGCTAGAAGAAAAGCAGTTTGAATAAGACAAAATCAAGAAGATCCTAATAAACAGTGGTTAAAAGCAAGAGTTTGAGATTCCAACATACTTCAATTAGAAATCAAATTCTGCTGCTTGGTTACCACAAGGGTGACCTTGGGCAAATTACATAATCTAAGTTTCAGTGTCCTTGTTGGTAATACTGTATCTCCGATTATTAAAGGAATGATTGTGTGTGTATATACGGGGAGAAAGAGAGAATCTATCTATCTCTATATATATCACTGAGGTACATGTAGTATGCCACACAATCTAAAGGCATATATAATCATAACCTATGGGCATACATTTTGCTAATGAATGGGGTAATTAATAGGCCCAATGTGTGTTAGTTTGGTTTTTTAAAATAATTTAGGGGTTTAAATGTCTGTTATGGGTTGAATGCTGAATTTATTTCCCTAAAAATTCGTATGTTGAAGTCCTAACCCAGTACCTCAGAATAAGACCGCATTTGGAGATAGGGTCTTTGCAGAGGTAATTGAGTTAAAATGAGGCCATTAACATGGGCCCTAGTCGAATATGACTGATGTACTTACAAGAGGAGCAAATTTGGACACAGTTTCCCTTTCTAGATGGAGAATTGAACTGCCCACGGTACATTCAATGGTTATGGCTGAGCCAGGACTAAAACCAGTCCAGGTATTCATCCCTCGGCTCTAGTGCTGACTTTAATGAAATGATTGGGTTTCAAAACCACTGTTAGAGACATTAGGGACTTTTTCTTAATATAC